CCAACGATTTAGGGCCGAATACCTAATTGGTTTCACCCCGCTCGTTGCCTTATCGACGGCCTTATAAAATTCCACTGCAGCACCGGGAAAGTATAATCCATAAAGTCCCGTACATGAAAGTGTGCGTGAATGTTACTTCAAATTATTTTTTAACTTTTCACTTATGTCAAAGAGTAGATGTAAACTCGAGTAACGGAGTTGACTATTGAATAGAGCAGCTATATGATTAGAAACGTGCATTTTTGGATCCATCGTTATGCAATATAAAATTGTTATGTAAAAATAGTTTCAAAAGTATAAAAACACGCGTAAATAACGTTAAATTAAGAATTAATAATCAATCAGGGCTTTAGGCTAAAGTAATAAAATTCTTGCAAAGCGATCCACCCTCTTGATACGTCTGCAAATCTTTATGTCAATTAGATGTTTTAAAGCTGGTTTAAGACATAGACCTATTTCATACTTCAGTGGTTTATGATAATTGAAAAATTTTGTCAGATAAATCAACGAATACGAATCAAAGCTGCACAAGTCATAGAGCCCGAAATTGTTTCTTTATACAAGCAAGTAATTTTTTTTTGTAATATACGGGGTGTTCTAGATTATCGAACTTTCTAGAATAAATACACTACTAGGGTACCTATAATTATATGTATAGTAAACGGAAAGAATATTTCATTTACTTAATTAAGCATATACTTAAACACTGGTCTTTTTATATATATTTTATTTATTAACAAGTAGAAACAGACAAACAGACGGCCAACCTGAGTGATCATCAACGTATGTGTCACAGCTGAGTTGCTGCCTATCACTCTGAACTATTTTGCAACCAAATTTGAAAAAAATGCATATCAGCGCACGAGGTAAATCGGAGGGAAGTTTATCCAGAGTCGGATAGAAAAGGCCAAGAATAAACGAACTGTGGCTGAGGGCGATATTTCCAGGTAATATGGATGAATCCTGCTCCAGAGGAGTGTGGCGCGATAAAAATGGCGACATCATCTCAAACAATACCTCAGTGTGCTTGGTGCAAGTTTTTTAACGTTCTCGATAGCGTAAAAGTTAGTTAATATTTGTATGCAATGGGATCGTTTACCTACGTTTGCCACTAGGGGCGCTGTTCTAACTGCATACAAAATTCGGTTAACTTTTACGCTATCGAGAACGTTCAAAAACTCGCACTGAGCACACAGAGCTTTTTTTCCTACCTTTACTGATGGCCTTGAAAGGCTATTTCAGCTTCGCCCCAACGTGTGGGTGAACTTACGGGGCTCCAACCGGAGTATTGCTAACGGTAACAAGAGCAGTGCTTCGCAGAATCTACCACCGGATCGGAAACGCGACCCACTGAGAAGATCCGGCAAGAAACTCAGTGGGCTGTGTCTATGTGCTAATTCGGTCGTCGAGCCCTTCGTCGCAAGCGACGGGTTCGACGAGGACGCAGAGCTCTCTCAATGGAACGTACGGTACAAAAGAAAGAGAGAACCGAAGTCTTCATTCATCGTTGGACGACCAACTTTAAAACCATTGTTATTAAGTTCATATTTCGTGTCACGAACTGAACGAAATCATAGGTCCTGAAATCATAGATCTTTATTTTCAGGTGCGGATTCAATACACCCTATAAAGGGCCTGTTCCCGGCTTCATTAATTCAAACGATAAATAGTGAGATTATAGGACTGGCCGTTTGCGTGTAACCACTCGGGCTCACCGTAATGAAGGCCTACAGGGGCAATACATCTAAATTATACCATACTCACAGCTCTAGTTAGGTTATTTGAAAGATTGATGATTAGAAGACACGGGTTGCGATCGGAATCAATTCAAGTTACTAGTGCTTTAACTTCCGTCTCCATAATCAATTTTTTTTTTTAAATATCTTCTGACCATTTCTGCCGTAAAGCAGTAATGCGTTTCGGTTTGAAGGGTGGGGCAGCCGTTGTAACTATACTGAGACCTTAGAACTTATATCTCAAGGTGGATGGAGCATTTACGTTGTAGATGTCTATGGGCTCCAGTAACCACTTAACACCTGTGCTGTAAGCTCGTCGACCCATCTAAGCAACAAAAAAATAAAATAATCATCAGGGTAGCGCGCATTATTCTCTAATCTTAATTTAATAATCGAATGAGGCCAGGATTTGCATCAGGCAACACAAAGGACAGAGGTCCACAAAGAAATTGGGTGTACTTGTATCGTTTAATGTGACAATGTCTGAGTTCGAATCCAATTTAGTAATTTACTTTATTATTGGTAGTAGTGCATCGTGTTCGTCTACGCGGGTAAGTATATATATTTATGGTAACTCCAGTAGCATTAAATATAATAATTTTGATACTTTACTTTTCACTCTACTTAAGGGAAACATATAACATATATTCGTACTTCTAGTTATGATAATGCATAATTTGAGACCGCTTGGTTTTGAGTAATCAACCAGCGTATAATGAACATGACAGCCATACGTTCTAGTTTTTAGGATAGGACAGCCAGTCGCTGCCTATAAATTAAAAACTAACTATAGTCACTTTTATGACTTAAATTTCAATGCTTTTTAAAACATAGTTTAAAAAAAAACAAATATACACGCTTAAATTTCAAGCCGAACTAAAAATTTAATATGTTTGTAATGCTTTATTTATCATATTGATACACTAGCGACCCGCCCTCGCTTCGCTTCGGAAACTGTAATTTATTATTGATTTCTCCACTATTTAATGGATGTTATTATACATATAAACCTTCCTCTTCAATCACTCTGTCTATTATAAAAACCGCATCAAAATCCGTTGCGTAGTTTTACAAATTTAAGCATACATAGGGACAGAGAAAGCGACTTTGTTTTATACTATGTAATGATATCAGAAGATTAGAGGAAGGTGGTATACTCGTTCTTATAGTATTGTCATCGGTCTTAGGTGCGTGTGCAAATTGTCAAGTTGAGGGCACGTCTTGAAGTAGGTGAAAAAGACAATAAAAGATTCCGTTACATACCAAACGAATGTGTTTGCAAAGCAAAAGTTTCGTCTAAATATTTTGCGTGATCCGCCAATATTTTTGTAGCATTAGATCGATGAAGAGACAGTTGTGGTTAGTGAAGCCCATACACAGAGCACTGTCAACGCTGTCACCAATATTCAGGTGATGTATTCATGGTATGACCTTATTGTAACGATGAGACAGTCGTTATAAAATAAATTTTGACCTCATGTCTCAAGTTGATTGGCTGTATCTACACTGAGGTTACTGATGCTTCAATAACCACTTAACAGCATGTGGACTGCGAACTCGTTCAATGAGCTATGCAATACAAGGTAGAAACATAAATTCAAAGAAACATTTTGAAGTTCTATAATAGTCTGAGTTTCTAAAGAGAGGTTCTGAAGATTTCCAAAATTCAAACAACCAAAATCAATTTGTAATTTTTATTTTCAATTTTTATTTATATCAATTTTCTATCATCAGTATTGGCATTTTTACAAAATATAATAATCCCTTTCAGTGGAAGAATTAAAACAAAACTTATATTAATTTGGCAAATTAGAAATTTACCTCTATAACAATTACAATGTATAAAACTCTAAGTAAATAATAATTATTATTAAAAATAGGAAATATACATTATTTTTACAACACAAAAATTTATAAAAGTCTATATAGACTATTTTGTTATCGAAATAGTTTTCTCCAACTACTACCGCTACATAAGTGATTTAAAATAAAACTGAATTCATATTACAGATATGCATATTCTTTAAATATATTTCAGATTATTTATTTACACAATATATTATTATGCTACAATTAAATTAAATATATTACAAAAAAAAAATCTACAATAACATTAAATTTAACACTGACAGAAACTAACATTTTGAAGACAACATAACATGACATTATTCAAAAATTTGTATACAACATGTATAGAAAATTTTTGGGATTCATGAATGTCGACAAAACATACAAGTGAATGAATGTATCATAAAAACATTTCAACTTAAAACTAGAAACATCTTTGTCCAAAAACGGCTTTTATTTCGTAAAACAATTTGACCCGGTCCTTATCTAGCGATTTGATTTCCAAATTTGGTAGAAAGGAATAGGCGATCACGTTTACAATACAATGTTGAGTTACGAATGAGATGACCATTAACTACATTTCAGATCTAGGAAAGAAAATATAAAAACAATTGCATCTTATTAAATTTCAATTAATTAATGTTGGACGTTTTCATTCCAATGCCTGTTTTTTTATCAGTTGATTAATAGTATAACACCGTAGAATAATTACAATAAAATAAAAAATACGGAAATTTACTATGATGCAATGCACATTATTTTTAAGATTTTAAATAATTATTTTGTGAAAATGGCATTGAAATTACAATATTATAAAGACAGGTATGGGGGAAAATTGTTACGTAATGGGAGTGATATTCTCTTTCACACGCCTGCAATTTTTGGCGATGACGTCACGAATCACTGTGCATATTTCTGCACCCCACCATCAATTTAAAAGGTTCTGGTCTTTCCTGAATGTATTATAATATTATTGCTAATTTAGACTTTGAGTACTTTGAATAGGATAACTTTTTGATAAAATAATAAATGAACCATCATCACTATTCTCTGTTAAGTAAACGACTCACGTAAGCCTTTATATGTACAAAGCTTTTTGGCCTTCAAGTCCTATATACTCGGTGGAGGAAACCCTATTACGTTTCCACGATTTGAATATACCAAGAAATAAATGTCACTATTTTGAGTGAAAAGTATGTTGTTATTTTTTTTTTAATTAATGAGCTTGATCGCAGTTCACCAAATTATTAAAAAAGTTATTTCGTTGTTACATTATTTAGGGTGTGAGTAATGACAAATTGACCAGCTATTTCTGGGCATAGAAAATCGTGGAGGATGGTAGAAACGCATCGATTCATTCGGTGGGCGACCGTTGATAATATTTACAANATTTTGAGTGAAAAGTATGTTGTTATTTTTTTTTTAATTAATGAGCTTGATCGCAGTTCACCAAATTATTAAAAAAGTTATTTCGTTGTTACATTATTTAGGGTGTGAGTAATGACAAATTGACCAGCTATTTCTGGGCATAGAAAATCGTGGAGGATGGTAGAAACGCATCGATTCATTCGGTGGGCGACCGTTGATAATATTTACAACAATTAAACATTTTTTAATCCCCACATAATTCTCTAACATTAAAAAGAATGTTTGGCATTTGTTTTGTGACTCTTCATACAATCTATTTTGTACCTAAACAGCGTCTACCCCTGCCATGTATGGCACTCCCGCAGGCTCTATCGGGCACCGTGTCTAAGGCACATGTCTTTGTACAACAATCGAACGGTACAAAATGAAATACATATTAGTAACTTACTTATGTTATATGGAATTCACTGTTTTACTATCATTTAATGGATGTTAATAATATATTATAATTACATTGAACTGTTTCTCAGAACATACTGATCTAGTCAAAGCACATCACGTTATCATTTACAGCAAACTCCATTGAACTTTTCTATGGCACAAAATTTGCACGAAACATAATTTATTAAACATATAAATGTATATATGTGCATATGCAAGGTGATCTGAAATATGCTTATGTAAGGTTCAAATCTGAGCAGGCGTTACAGAAATTGGATTATTAAAAATCTCATTTGGCTTTACATTATAAATGTCAAATATTTTGACAGATGACATTAAGTGTGGTGCGATAGAAAAAACTGCATACGGATTCCTGTAACGCCTTTGTTTTATTGTAAATAAAAATATAACCAATATAATAGAATAAGTGTTACGTCAGTCTTCGATCCAGAAAATCTCAATGGGCAATAGTGATCACAGAACAATGTTAGTTGCAATATTTAATTAACGGTGCCGGCTCCCTGCGCCTCACGAACTCAACTGTTCGAGGAATCATTTTTTGTAGTACAATTTTTTTTTAATACGCACGATTATCGATAAAAGCAATACAATTGTAATCGATATAAACTTTGTCGCACACTGGACATTCGCAACAAAACGTGATCCCGTTTATACGCTGTCTCTCTCGTTATATTAATGGTTTATGAACAAAAATATAGTGTTTTTAGGCTTATATATATTGACCGGTGAAAGGCTATTTGGTTTAAGCGACATTTCTGCAACATTACAGGAGAGCCATTTAAAGTTTAAAATTTGAAAAAAATATCATAACAAAAAACTTCTTCGGCTATTTCTATGGAATAAATTAATAGAAGTTCAATTAAAAACATCGAACTGTTGATACTAATAGCTAATAAAACAGACATTTAAGTACAAAGATAAATGTACGCATACTAAGCGAAAGGTCGCTTAACCCTTTCACCCCTCTATATGACTTCATTGAGGGGGTTCGTCATGTTAATAAACTATCTATGAAGTTCTTCCGACTTGATGCATCCTGTTGAGGGCAGATCACTCCCGCAAGTATTCAGATACGCTCACGGTGACAGCGTATAAACATATCTATATTTTATTGATACGACAATCGAACGCAAAAAAATCGTGTTATAAAAAATTGTTTCCTCAAATCACAAACCATTCAAACCTGAACTCCGAGCACTCTATCAACAACGAAATCATACCTCACATCATCAGTCTTAGTTTCCTCCTTGGCCTGATCTTCGAAGCAAGGCTCCGGGTTCATGCACGGGTTCTTACATTCCACCACCTTCGCAGCTTCGAGACAGGGCTGCTCACGTCTCTCGAATGACGTCTTCGAGGACCTGCCGTCTGGAGTGGTTCTCTCCTCGAGGTCCACCTCCCAGTCGTCTTCGGATAGGTCGTCGGCCTCTCCGGGCAGAGCGGGTATCGTGTTTTTGCTTCGCGTGAAAAATGCCATCTTCTCCCTGTAAGAAAGATTGCTATGAGACAATGTTTCCTGTATGCTTAGTGAGAGTTTTTTAACGTTCTCGACAGCGTAAAAGTTAGCTCATATTTGTATGGAATGGGATCGTTTGCGTACGTTTGCCGCTAGGGGCGCTGTTTTAACTGCATACAAAATTAGGTTAACTTTTACGCTATAGAGAACATTAAAAAACTCACACTAAGCAAATAAGGTACAGTCGCGGTAAGTCGAAGTTACGTGGACAGATTTAAGTTACAGTCATTGGCAGACCTTTTTTTTTATTGCTTAGGTGGGTGGACGAGCTCACAGCCCACCTGGTATTAAGTGGTTACTGGAGCCCATAGACATGTACAACGTAAATGCGCCACTCACCTTGAGACATAAGTTCTAAGGTCTCAGGTATAGTTACAACGACCTTGGCGGAGCTAGTTCGACACTTCAACGCGTAGTCATAAAACACAATTATGCACTGCTTTTATAAATATCGATATAAAACCGAATTCTGTGAGCTCGCACGGGAAGTTACAATCATTCCGCTCGTTTCTGCCGCGGAATAGTCATAGCCGATACAGTATGCAATTTTACCTTCGCCTCAAATCTCAAGGTTTGCGTTCAGGTCGTGATATGTTTGAGGTTCCCTGAACTACAGAACACTGAGTGGGCCGTGAGTTCATTGAATCACGTCATTCCTTTTTTATCGCCAATAATTATTTACGCCTTCTATACCCTACTGGTAATAGTACCATCGCAGTGCTACAGATGGCGTGCGAGTCATTTCAACAACTGGTGGTAGGACCTCTTGTGAGTCCGCACGGGTCGGTACCACGATCCCGCCTATTTCTGCCGTGAAGCAGTAATGCGTTTCGGTTTGAGGGACGGGGTAGCCATTGTAACTATACTGAGACCTTAGAGCTTATACCTCAAGGTGCATAGCGCATTTACGTTGTAGATGTCTATGGGCTCCAGTAACCAATTAACACCTGTGGGTTGTGAGCTCGTCCACCTATGAAAGCAATAAAGAAAAAATTGTTCTCACATTAACATCCCACATGTAACAAATAGCCCTTACCTAAACGTGATAAGGTCCGGTTTCCTGCCTCCCTGTCTCGAGCGCCGCAGCCGGTAGATGTCTCTGGCTGCTCGCTGCAACAGCCGCGCCGCCCTGGTGGAGCCCGCGTCCGCGGCCCCGGAACTGACCAGTCTACTTAGAGCCTCGTCGTCTGCCACTTGCGCTGCGACCGATGGGTCACCACGAGCGCAGGCTTCCTCAAGTCTGTAAGTCATGATTAAATATTGATGATTTTTTTTTGTAGGCAGACGAGCATACGGCCCTGATGGTGAGTGGTTACCGTCGCCCATGGACTTCAGCAATGCCAAGGGCAGAGCCAAGCCGCTGCCTACCGCTAAAGTTTCCATGGTCACGAATGACTAAGGTGTTATACGTAGATTTTTAAATATTGTGCTAGCTGTAAAATGCACGATAATAATTGCATGTACTATTAGATTCCGTTTATCTATTAGATAAGCTTAAAGCGAAATATTTTGGGCATATTATGAATCACAGCACGAATAGGTACTGTCAGAAGCGGACACGCTCAGTTTGGAGGGTTACCGTAAATTGGGGGAAATCTTTTCTTATGGTAATAATACCAATAAAATTAAGATTAAAATGGTTCCGGAGGCTTATATTTTTATATACGATGCGTTATTATACATAGTTCGTTACAAAATATACACGAAAACTGAAAAAAAACTAGCTTGACCCGATTCACCTTGGCTTTGGGCTGAATCAGGCTACGTATGGAGACAATACAGTTTTTCGATAGGGCTGGCACTATTTAGTTTGTTAGGTTAGGTTAATCACTAAATTCTTAATCACTAAAAATAAAAGTCAGTTATAGTTTAACAAAGTTAAATCTCTAACAACTCAACAAAAGTATTGTGACATCCCAGATTTGTCGCTATTCTATCCCTAGTCCCTAATCCTCCCAATCTACGGGACTATATCTATATAAGTACGTTGCGAATCCTAAAATGGTGTTGGGTGTACATAGTTGTGAATTTCTACCACAGATACATCTACTGTACGCAGTACACATGAAGGGAGTGGGGGGGATCCTGTACTCTCGTCTGCCCACGACTAATGTCTGGGATCAGGTACATAGAACTTACCGCTTCTTGAGCTGGGTGAGCGTGGCGATTTCGTCGGTGAGGTCGGCGAGGCGCGTGTGCTGCGCGCGCAGGTCCAGCGTGAGGTCCAGCGACGTGCGCGGGCCCGAGCGGGGCGCGCTGCGGCGGACCGCGCCGCCCGCCACGCGACCCAGCCTGCACACACAGACAGAACTTGTAAATCTTTACTGGTGGTAGGACCGCTTGAGAGTCTGCGCGGGTAGGTACCACCACCCTGCCTATTTCTGCCGTGAAGCAGTAATGCGTTTCGGTTTGAAAGGCAGGGCAGCCGTTGTAACTATACTGAGACTTTAGAACTTATATCTCAAGGTGAGTGGCGCGTTTACGAGTTAGATGTCTATGGGCTCCAGTAACCAGTTAACATCAGGTGGGCTATGAACTCGTTCACCCATCTAAGCAATAAAAACAACACATGTGGCACTCGGGGACTGCCGCAGTAAAGCTATTGCATAGCATTTTTATCAACTTATGCAATTATAATTTAATATTAAAGCAATAATAAAATAAGACCACGCTATATTTATAAACATTAATAAAAGCAAAACGTTAACTGTCCCCTTCATACTCATAAGCTAGACCGCGCGAGAGAGAGATGGACAGACTTTTCATGATGCGCATGCAGTGTGTCGTCACGCCGCGCGCTTATTCACAAACACTACACCAGCGCAACGTGCGAATTTGTTGAACGCGAGCTACATGGTAGTCGGAGTGGGGGTGTTAGGTTTTATTTTCGTTACGGAATTTCTTGATTCGGTCGCCGCGCTCAAAGCCCGCGATAAAAGCTATGCAATAGCTTAAAAACATGTTCAGCTTACCTGAGAGATCTGCGTTCTCTGACGGTCCGGTCGAATGGGATGCTGGTGGTGGGCGGCGGATGCAGGGGCACTCGTCTCGCGTACTGAACCATTGACGAATCAGATTCCGAACGATTCAATCTGAAAAAATGATATAGATATAAAATTAAATAACGATTTGTTTGTCACTTATAATAGTCAGTTTGGCATCACAAGATACTGCGTGCGATTATCACACGACTAATTGACTCTTTTTTTTTATTGCCTAAATGGATGAACGAGTTCACAGCCCACCTGCTGTTAAATGCCGCCGCCACCTACCTTGAGACAAGAAAGTTTCAGTTTTAGAATACAACGGCTGCCCCACCCTTGAAACCGAAACGCATTACTGCTTCACGGCAGAAATAGTCGTAGCGGTAGTACCTACCCGTGCGGACTCACAGGACGTCCTACCACCAGTAATTACGCAAATTATAAACAGAAACTCCTTGCTTTTCCAAAAATTATCCAGTAACTATTCCCCGTAATGTTAATATGCATGACTGACCTGCAAATATATTGGCCTTTCCCGATACTCTGCGGCTGCGGAGAAAACGTTTGAGATCTCTTTATCGGCGCTAAAGTTTCGCTTGACTCAGCTTTCGTCTGTTGCTTCCTGTAAAAACAAAAAAAATACATAATATATCACAAAACATTCGTTGTTTTAACTTCCCCGTTTATATATGCGAATTTATAATGCTAGTATTTGTTACAAAACATTTGTAAACTCTAACTGAATATTCGGCTAACATGACACCGATCGAGAAATAATGACAGTTTTTAAGTTAAAGGGAAAATATTTTTTTATTAAGCCCACAAGCGAATTGTTTACTTAACAATTAATTTACGACCAGATAACGATATTGTATATCTCTAGCAAAGACTCTGTTTTCGACCGGCCATCGAACCCGGATCCGATGGCACCACTAGACCAACGTGATCAATGACCAATGTCGGTTGATGTGAAAACAACGTTACATTCACGCCGTGCCAAGTATCATGCCGGTTAATGATCATGCTCATAAAACTACATGCAAAAAACGATCTTAATACGTTGTTACAAAGCTTAAAAACACCGACACAATGTAAACATACCTATATACAAAAACTATGTACAGATATGTTCATTTGGACGGTATTATTTCTCTAATGGCGTTTCATCTTGAGGCTTACCATCGGCCTCTATCCGCTTTAATCGCTTCATGTATCTGTGGTAGAAATTTACAACTATGTACACCCAACACCGTTTTAGGATTCGCAACGTTCAGTACTTACATAAATATAGTACCGTAGATTGGGAGGAATAGGGACTAGGGGTTGAATAGGGACAAATCTGGGTTGCCACAATGCTTTTGTGAGATTTAAATTTGTTGAATTGAAAAGGACTTTTATTGAGCGTTTATGAATATTAAATAGTTGAATTTAGTCATCAGAGTTTTGTAACTGATTAAAGATATTGAAAAGTTAGTTACCTAAAGGTAAGTACCTACCTAACAACTGAACAGTGCCAGCCCTATCGAAAAACTATTGTCCCGATACGTGACCGGATTCAGCCCAAAGTTTTTTATAAGTTTTTGCGTATATTTTTCAATGAACTATCTATAATAATGCATCGGAAAATTCAAACCTCTGGAACCATTTTAATCTCAATTTTATTAGTACCTAAGAAAAACCTTTGAAAATTTGTCTTGGAATTGAAAAACGTCCCGATTCCTCCCAATCTACTGTATATGTAGTTTAATGGTAACAAATAATCTTTCCACCACAAATATACAACATACCGAATAGAAAATAACTCAGTTTTATGTTAGGATATCACCATGAAACCTATTGTCCACCTCCACCACTTTAGAACTAGCATACAAAATATGAACTACAAAATGATTTTTAATCATTAACTCAGGGCTGCCACTTAACAAAAATTCCAGATATTGAAATTGAAATTTAATAAAAAAGAAATATATTTTGCAAATCCTACAATATTTCTTTTAAAATTAAATAAATTAACAACAAATAAATACAATTATCAATGAATAATCTTTATGGGCTACAGTAAACAATTTACTACTATTATCACTGTCTTGCATAACTGAGTTATTAAAAAAATATTTTGATTAACCGAATGTGTATTCGCAGATAAACTCAGCTACCTTCAAAGATTAATAACAAAATAATCTTTTAACTTATATTAAAAGTGAAGTTTTTTTATATTAAGAAAATATGTTATCGATTTGGTTAAGAGTTAACCAAAATATACCAAAGGCGTAAATATCATCCGCGATAAAGTTTAATTAGAAAATGAATGTACAATTTAGTGACAAACTCATAAAAACGAAAAAACTTTAAAATCACTTTTCTGTCGTTAAGGACGAAATTTAAAAACCCTCTAGGACTTCCTCTAGGATTTCAGGCTTATTACTTATATATATTATATTGTAGATGGACGAATAGCAATAGTCAGTCGCGTACCTTCTGAGTTGCCTGGCTTCAGGGCAGAAGTTGCATTCGGTGTTGGTTTCTTTCTCAGCGGTGGCCGGGTGTAGGTACTCGTCTTCCAACACTAACTCCTCCTCGGGAATGTAATCTTCGAACGAATCCTCTTCCACAATCTGTTGGCAATCGAGATCATCGCGTTAGCTTTTTTTTATTGCTTAGATGTGTGGACGAGCTCACAGCCCACCTGGTGTTAAGTGGTTACTGGAGCCCATAGACATCTACAACGTAAATGCCGCCACCCACCTTGAGATATGAGTTCTAAGGTCTCAGTATAGTTACAACAGCCGCCTCAACATTGAAACCGAAACGCATTACTGCTTCAAGCATATTATTGTTTGACGGGTTTTGATTTTTATTACACGATGTTATTCCTTCACTGTGGAAGTCAATCCTGAATATTTGTTATGTACGTATTTCATTAGAAAAATTTGTACCCGCCTGCGGGATTCGAACACCCGTGCATCGCTACATACGAATGCAACGGACGTCTTATCCTTTAGGCCACGACGACTTCAATTTCGACTTCCACTAGCTGGGGTTTTTGAACCGTAAATATGATTTAAAAACGGTTTCAAAGTTAAAACAATAAACTGTGTTTTTTCTAATCTATATTCATTTTATAAACGACAAAGTTTGTCTATTTGGATGTTTGTTACAATTTTGTTACAAATCGGATGCAATTTCGAGCAAATATTGTTTATAACATTTTATCATTTTATATACTTCTTTGAGTCTCTGCCAAGATCAATAGTGTAGATTATTTTTGTTGACAATTTTAGATTAACTTTTTAATATTATTGAATATATTGGTAGTGGCAAGTCATGTGAGCCCGCATGAGTAGGTACTATCACTCTGCCCATTCCTGCTGTGATGCAGTCATGCATTCCAATGCCGTTGTAAATATACTGAGACCTTAGAACTTTCATCTCAAGGTGGGTGGCGCATTTACGTTGTAAATGTCTATGGGCTCTAGTAACCACTTAACATCAGGTGGGTTGTGAGCTTGTCTATAAAAAAAAAATATTAAAGGCGGGGCAGTCGCGGTACTTTAAAACCGAGGCTCATGTCTCAAGATATTTGTTAATTGTCTTTGAGCTGTTACCACTTAACATCATATAGATGATCAGTTCGTTGTAGTAAATTTTGTAGGTATAGGTACCGTGGGGTAGTACACCCTTATATTTATTTCACACCGGCGGTTAGGTGCGCGACCTCGCCGTGGGGTTCGTTCAAAACATTACCTGATTCAGTGGTTCTCTAGACTCCTCGTCTTCCGAAGCGGAATTATCACCGCAGTCGATATTACATTCCGCGCCCGCCATGCTCTCCGGACCTGCGGGAATAATGATAAAAATTCAATTTCTCTAGTACAAACACGTCACAGAAATATTTGTTTATTCTTCATAACCTATTTTATTTGAAGTCACGTTGAATAAATAATATTATCGGCTTTAGGCATCAACAATGCTAAGAGCATACTCGATTGCTTAATATTTGATAGGCAGTATAAGTAAGACTAGATGTATTGTATTTTATTTTGTATACGTTAATTCTCATTTCTCATCCAACAATTTAAAATAGTTTAATTTTGAAAATCACATTTGCCAAAACAAAACTATACAAAGGAAACTATTATATTACTAGCTGACCCGGCAGACTTCGTAGTGCCTCAATCGATAAATAAAAAACCTAAACTTTTCTATAAAATAAACTTAAAACAAACAAAAAGAATCCGTCCGACGGGGACACATCAAAGGAAAAACAAAATTGTTATTTTTGTTTAATTCCGAGCATTTTCATATTTATCTACCTTTTAAACTTCTCTGGACTTCCACAAATAATTCAAAACCAAAATTAGCCAAATCGGTCCAGCCGTTCTCGAGTTTTAGCGAGACTAACGAACAGCAATTCATTTTTATATATTTAGATAGATAGATGACATCTCCATTCTCACCTCTGTTCCGGGTCAACGTGGAGGTCTGCGACGATATAACCGTCGATTCGTCGGAGCTTTCGTCTCTCCTCATGGAACGGAAGCTCAGTACGTTGTACCACTTCTGCGACCCTAACTCCGGATCGAAGTCGGCCAGGCTAACTTGAGCGCAGCCCTGAAAAAAAAATCGGTTTATTTCAAAGACTTATTATAGTTAAGTAGGTCTACGTTTTCTGGATGTGGTTGTATCAGATATTAAATCGCTCTCGCCTTGTTTCTTGTCACATGGCACTCAAGGCTTTGTTAGCCGAATACTCGAATTTGGCTAGTCGTCATCATGTCTTTTGAAATCATTATTTCTGTTAAATTATTTTATATTTCTTTGAAGGCAATTTATATATCCGGGGATGAAAGGCTATTTGGTTTAAGCGTCATTTCACCTAATACGCGACATTTATGGGTGTAAATAAAAGTCCGCCTTATTTGTGTTGGAGAATTGTAAAAATAATTTCATATTATCTGTAATGTCAAAAATGGTTCACAATTTGCTCACGTGTGACGCCACCGTCTTTGCTTTTTATAAGTGTGTTTCTTCTTTTTACTATTTGCATTAAAACTGTTACATCAACAACGCCACAACAAGGCAACAATTTGCCATCAACAAACAATACGACGTTTTTAACTGAACTTCAATCAAGTTTACTCAATTCAAAAAGCTGAAGACTGTTTTTTTTGTTATAATATTTTTTCAAGTTTTAAGCTTTAAATGGCTTTCTTGTAAGGTTGCAAGAATATCACTTATATCAAATACCCTTTACTTCTCGATATGATTGGAACTATAGTTACCAGACACTCGGTGCCGCTGGTGAGGTTGACCTGCAGCGTGGCGGCCCGCAGCGCGCGCGCGCCCGCCACCGGCACGCGCTGCGCGTGACGCCACGCCAGCGTCGCGCCGCGCCACGACAACGCCGCGCTGCCGAACGCCACGCCGCAGCCGCCGCCCACCACTAACGCTCCTCTCACGCCACTGCGTATACAATATTACAGGATTATATTTATGAGCTTTACATTTGAGTCGACTATTATCAAAGCCGGCAATGTGACTTTTGGACAATTATTGGTAAATCAGAAAAACGAATTATTGACTTTGTATTCCATTGGCAGTCACAAAACTCTTCTGAACGACATCTTAGATAAATAACAGGTTAAGTATTAACCTTTATTTAATGCAGGTTTTGAACCGTATTCTTTGAAGGAGACGATAATTCAAAAGTTATGTTGCTTATTCGCTATGTTACTGCTACCGAGAAAATTATTTACAAATTATATATTATATTTTGTTTAAATTAAATTAGTGTTGCACTCACACTTCCGTTCCCATGTCGATGAAGAGGGCGTGCAGATTCCGAGCCCTCAGTATGCCGATCTCCAACGCAGTCTCGTCGGGACAGTAACGCAATTTGATCTCAATTTGTGCACTGTTCACTGTAAACACGATTTATTTATTAGATTTTATCTGGTGCATAAGGTGCGAAAAGTGTGGTATTCCAACTAACACTTATATATTACAAATCGATCACGAAGAATATATCCATCGACCTTCGCCTATTGGGATCCCGAAGCAAAGAACCCGAAGCAAAGAAATCATTCATTTCGTTTACGCATTGTTAAGATAATATAGAGACGGAATATCAAAATTTAAATAATAAATATTTAAAAACAAACATTACTACCTAAATCTTTCGTAAATTATTTTAATTTACATTCTACAGATATATTTTTTCGCCTTAGTAGGCAGACGAGCGCACGGTTCACCTGATGGTGAGTGGTTACAGTCGCCCATGGACTACAGCAATACCAGGGGCAGAGTCGCGCCGCTGCCTACCAATAAAGAGTGTCGTATTTACCGGCGTTGGAAGCGTCGGTGGCCGCTTGCGCCGCTTCGAACACCCCAGAGTCTCCCGCCACTGACTCGTCGCTCACCGCAGCCGAGACTGATCTAGTGTTCGTACCTGTGTAGTAAGCTATTAGTTTAGTGGTGGTCCGATATTCCTACCTTTTTTTTCCTACCTAAGCTGATGGCCTTGAGAGGCCATTTCAGCGTAACCCTAAGAAATAGGAGAACTCACAGGGCTCAAACCTGACGACGTTGCTAACACTGGCCCTAGCAAGAGCCGTGCTTCGCAAAATCTACCACCGGATCGGAAACGCGACCCACTGAGAAGATTCGGCAAGAAACTCAGTTGGCTGTGTCTATGGGTTTCTGCCCCCGAGCAGTCAAGTGCTCCGGTCTGAAGGGTAGCCGTGGCACTGCAGAACTGAAGGTTAGAACTCTAAAGCAGCCTTTCTCAAAGTGGGCAATAACGCCCACTTGTGGGCGCTGCAGGCCTACAGTGGGTGGTAAGACACCCAGAAAAAAATGGGGGGTTGTGTGGAGCCTTGGGAGGCGATTTGTAATTTCATCTAGGATGACTCTTAGACACCGACTGAGCTCTCGCTATAGTGGTTTTAAGTAGGTGAAAAAATGGGGGCGCTAAAAAATAATTTATTCTCAATGTGGGCAATAGACAAAATAAGTTTAACCCCTGCTCTAGAGTGACCACCTAACACCAGCTGAGCCCAAAGCTTGTTCGTCTAAGCTATAAATAAATATATATCCCGATTAATGTTGAAATTTGTATTATGACGTCATTATTTCGTCACTTGACACTACTTTGGTCGACGAGTATTCCTTACCCTAAATATATGCTGTATCAATTGTAATGGGTAATAAAGTTTTTTGTTTGCTATTTAGAAATGGAAGGGACGATTTATACATAAAAAAGTCTAACCTTTGGAAAGTTTACTGGAATAAATGAAACCAGTTGTTCCCTTGGTAGTGGAAATTCGACTATAGTTAATTGAAATTATAAGTTTCAACATTATTATGGTTCTATAATATTATCAAAGACTTATTATATTTCTATAATCACAGATTTCGCCAGTACTATTAAAGACAAACAATATTAATCTATTCTCAATTTGACCACAGACTTTAAACAATAACAAAAGTTTGACAATAAACGAAGAGTATTTAAGTGTGTGTCAAATACATGGCAGTGTGTGTCATGTTTCTTTTATTGATTTAATGGATTTTTTAGGCATAATTAAAAAAATATTAACATTCTACACTCCTTCTCTATGTTATCTATAAGTGTGGGAAATTTCATACTCCTCCGTCCGCGCAATTTTCGTAAAAAGGGGATACAAAGTTTTTGCTTCACGTATTAATATAATAGATTAAGCAATAGTGAATATTGGTTTATTTACCACTAGACGAGGGAGTCCTAGGAGACAGGGGTGGCGGGGGGGTCTCCGATATGGGAGACAGCGGCTCACAGGGTCGACCCGGACCTTGGAGTTGTACTGGAACTGAACATATTTACGGTCAAAATTAATTGAATATGCAATTTTCGAAAAGGGCACATCTCTGAAAATATAAAATGTTCAGGAAATGAAAAAAACTGATTATTTTCTAAAGCAGTGTAAAATTTAAAATATTAACTTTTGAGATATATTTTAGTGTTAATTAGCAATTGAAGATTACTGGAATTATTATAAAATGGGTGTAGGTTAGCCTCAAAACTACATGTATATGAAAAAAACGTATTTGACTGGTGGTAGGACCTCTTGTGAGTCCGCACGGATAGGTATCACCACCCCGCCTATTTCTGCCGTGAAGCAGTAATGCGTTTCGGTTTGAAGGGTGGGATAGCCTTTGTAACTATACTGAGACCTTAGAACTTATATCTCAAGGTGGGTGGCGCATTTACCTTGTAGATGTCTATGGGCTCCAGTAACCACTTAACACCAGGTGGGCTGTGAGATCGTCCACCCATCTGAGCAATAAAAAAAATAAAAATAAAACATTCATCTTTAAGCTCTTCGTACGTCAACTTCCGCAAACCCAAAAACCGTTCGATTCTAAGCAACGAAGCACTCACTTGTAGCCAGGCCGGTGACTTCGTCCAGTCCGGCGGCCACGCCTATCCTCATTTCAGCCAGTTTCTCTTCCAGTTCTCGCTGCTGCCGTCTCTGTCTTTCGACCTAAAGGAGGCGCACAATAAAACCTAATTCTTATCCAGCTGTCCATCGGTGACCTCGCGCGTGAAAGCGAACGCCTGTCTGGTTAGCGAACTGACAGCGCCACGAGCCGAGGCGTGGGTTTCGCACGGATCCGATATAGTGACATGCGTTAGATATATATGTACCGATAACGCGACAAGTGGCCGGTACTGTGTGCTTAGTAGTGCGAGTTTCTTAACGTTTTCGATATCGTAAAAGTTAACCCAATTTTGTATGCAGTTGGAACAGCGCCCCTAGCGGCAAACGTACGCAAATGATCCCATTCTATACTACAAATATGAGCTAACTTTTACGCTATCGAGCACGTTAAAAAACTCGCACAAAGCACACTGATTATTTTTTGCGTCGAATTTTTACGAGTACGTCTTTACTGGTGGTTGGACGTCTTGTGAGTCCGCACAGGTACCAACCACTGCCCTGCCTATTTCTGCCGTGAAGCAGTAATGCGTTTCGGTTTGAAGGATGGGGCTGCCGCTGTAGCTATACCTCAGAACTTATATCTCAAGGTAGGTGGCGGCGTTTACGTTGTAGATGTCTATGGGCTCCGGGTTTGATCTCACGTTTTTATTGTTATTTTATTTTTTATGACTTTTGCGAATATTGCGTTTGCGATTGGACTGTAACAGTAGTTTGAATTATGTCTACGACTCGCCAAAATCTAATGAAATATATTGGACTATATTGGATTTTAATTATACTATCGATAATCTTTAATTGATTCTATGTGAGAGTGATTCTAATGATAAAAAATTTGTTCACCTGGTGGTAAGAGGGCGGTGGTGGTGGTGGACTGGCCGATGACAAGCTACTTCGTGGCGACAAAGAGGGCTGGGATGGCGAACTGCTTGCGCCTGGAGTTACGCTGTCCGCGTTGTAACTAGTGCCTCGTAATAATCTGAAGTAAAGTATTTTTTTATTAAATTACCACTTTTGGCTTTTATGCAAACCCTCCTCTTTTTCGTGTAAATCTGCGTTCCTTCTTCAACGGTTGTTAACTCGCAATTCTAATCTCTCAAGCTCAATACAGCCGCTTAACTTCAAGGAGGGCCATAGCAACAAATTACAAAAAAATATATATTTTTATTTTGCAATCGGTACATAAAATCGTTCTCACCTTTCGACTCTCCGATGTAGATCCACCATATCGATAGGCTTGTCAGTTTGAAACGAGCTCGCGATCTGCGGCCCGCCGTATATGTCCGTGAAACTGATCCCTGAACTCAGAGATCCTTTGCTGCTCGCCGTCGATAGCGATCCCAGACTGGAACTGCTAGACACCGACAATGTGCTCGCCGATAATGTCTTCAACTGTCCTTCTAAAGTTGTCATTGACGTTAACGCATCTTTCAATTGCTGCAGCAACAATTGCTTCTCTTCGTGTAGCCTCAAACGGTCCGCGATGCACTTGTTGGACATCTCGAAGGCATTCTTCAAGTCCTGCTCTAGCCTTTTGCATTCAGATTGTATATCGCTCATCTCTTGCTTCGATCTCGTTCTAGGCGTGATGCTTCTTAACTCCCGTAACAATTGTTCCTTTTCTTGGAATAGCAACAAACGGTCCTTGTCTGATTCCGCTTGTCCTGGTTGGACTTTGTCCTCCAAATCCGCCAGCTGTTGTTGGATTTGTTGTATCCTTTTCCTAGCTTCGTCGTACTGGAGGCGGACCCGCGCCATTTCAGCTAATCTCGTGCCTATAGGCACTAAATCGGCACACAAATCGGTTTGCGATGCGGTGCTTAGTTTCTCTTGAGGGAAACTCAAGGTGGAAGATAAGTCTGGCGATGCATCTCCCAGTTGCAGTCTCGTCAGATCGTCTTTTAATTTTGCCAGAGACTGCATTAAGTCTGCTTTCTCCTTTTCACCGGAGGTTAATGATTTTTGTACGTTCTTTAGCTCAGTCATTATAGCCTGAGCTTCGGTTATGTTGTAGCAACCTTGTTGTGCGCTAAGTTTTTGCTCGACCCTGAAATACAAGTTTTTATCAAATAATCAGATTTACAAGGTTTACAATCCACCATATTTCTTAAAACGTTCCAAATACTAACTCAGCCAATGTATCGACGCCTCGTCTTGCACTAGCTACTTCTGCTCGAGCCTGCCTCAACTCTTTCCTTAGTTGAGCGACGCGGCCTCTAGCCTGTGTCACTTCTGAGCGAAGCAGCTCGGGGTCGTGTCGGGAAGTCGTTGACGTTGTTGTCATTGAGGTGGTTGATGAACAAACTGTAGGTACGAAGGCACGATATAAGTACAACGGATCCAATGAAAATTAGCAGATTTCATCTTAATCTTTGATGATTCATTGCATATTCTCTCCACGGCGTCGCGTCCGTTCAATGACACCCTAATAAAATAATGACAAACCAAGAATATTTTTTATTGCCGTTGTATGCAGGCCAGCATATTGCCCACCTGACGATGACTTGACACTGACTACTAATGCCGTGATCGGCGCTTGCAAATGTCAAAATATAACAACTCATCAATCCTAAAATTTGTAGTAAATATTTCTAATTATTTTAATTCAATAGTAGCTATGTTATAGCGAGTTTTATCAAAGTACCTCGACTAACCAGACTAGCTTGAACGCTTGGCAAAATTATTTACAATTTATCCACATACCGCAAGTCGACTGTACACTAGCGTTAGATTATTTAATATTGATTACAATTTATAATCGTGTTTCTATAGTGCTGTCAGGGCGTGCTGCATATTATGGGCTACCCTATTCATTATTGTGAATGCAATAAGGGGCCTATTAAATTATTTTATAGGAAATTCATATAACGGACCATTATCGGACACGCCTTTTCTTATACGAAATACAAAATTTATATTCAGTGTTTCTTCTAAATAGTGAATTTTGATACAAATTAGTAATTATATTAGTAGGTATTTATTTCTAGTGCATTCGTACAAAGTAAAGTTCGCCCAATGATCGAAATACGATCAAAATCCTATTCATCCCAAGATTTAGATTTTCGTTTTAGTAGGTACGATATTGACAAAGAAAAACTGCCCTCTTTTTTTTATTTATTTTTTTATTGCCTTTGTAGGCAGACGAGCATACGGTCCACCTGATGGTGAGTGGTTACCGTCGCCCATGGACTTCAGCAATGCCAGGGGCAGAGCCAAGCCGCTGCCTACCACTTAATACTCTCCACAAGCCTCGTTTGAAGAAGGACAACTTATTTCCAATATTTTTTTTTAATTAAATAGCCCCTCAATATCTACTAAACAAAGCGAGAAAGAAGAAAATCTGTTTATAAACGAACCTAAAAATGGTACTAAGCTTTTTTTTCCTACCTAAGCCTTGAGAGGCTATATCAGCGTAACCTTAACTATAGTAGGTGAGCTCACGGGGCTCAAACCTGACGAGGTACTAAGCTCTTTTGTCTTTGCCTATGTATGTCGGCCGACATGTATTGCGATAACTTTACTATTATAATGAATTCATATTACGTAAAGATTCTATAAATTTCAGTGTGTACGGTAAAATAGGCGTAAAACATAGAGTGATTCTAGATAAGCGACGGCTCTCAAATTGTTGTGCCAATGGATCCAAAACGTGAAACGTTGCTTCTTAGGCCGGATCTTCATCTATCCGAGTTGAATTACGATAAAATACCTGTTTAATATAACTGGCTGTGTATATCTTTTAAAAATTATCTAACCTTTTCAGGGATGAACTTTTTAAAGTACAAAAAATATGAACTTAGTTTATTCTTTATTGCGATTTATTCTTGTTCCTTTGTTATTGAAAACATGTGAATAAGTAAAAAAAAAAACAAAAATTGTGATTTTTTTTCCGCACATGTCCGCATATTTAGTCATTTAGGATACAGTTAAATATACAAATGATTAAACAAAAACACGTACCAATGTGCCAATATATGTGATGAAGTTAATTTTGAATTATTTTATTAAAGTATGTAGATGGTTCGATTTCCTGATGAAACTTCACCTTAACTTTACAGGTGAAATTTCAACAAGTCCTTAGTGTAGATAGGTACTTAAAGAGGTTGTCTCAAAATCCATAAAGGAATATACGAAAATTTACAAGAAATCTGTATTTATATTTGACCAAAATACACTTACGACTAGTTCTTGAGGCAGCGAGGGTGGACAGAGCATTGTTGAGGTGTTTATATTCATCTTGAGCTAGGCAAAGCCTTTGTTTCTTTACATCGTACATCTCTTTCTTAGCCTGTGGACAATGGAGAGATTCAAATTACACTTATGACTTTTTTACATTTTAGTCTCAGAATTTACATTGTACAGATTAAGCTTCCAGAAACTTCCAGTTGCAGGTTTTATTTATTACAAATTACATGTTTAATGATTAATTAGTGAAGTTATTTTTATTGTTATCCATTTTAACCTTTTCGGTTGTCCTTGTGTGAAACGGTTACCGGAGCCCATGGACCATGCATGATTACTACCACATACGTGAGACATCAAAGTCCCAATTGTATTACGATTGAAAGAAATGTAAAATTAAACTTAACCTATTTAAAAGCCAATTAAAAGCCGTTATGGTTTTCAAAAATGTAGTCGTTCATTAATACTAAATTAATTGGAATCGATTAAAATTTATTTCTTAATTCCCGAGCGAAAATTACCTATAGATTACACCTATGTAGTTCAAAATCGATTTCAATCAACACGTTTCATTCAAATCTCCAAACGATCGCAAATAACACGTCCGAATGAAATACATCAAGTCACTACGAACAGAGTCATTACAGAAAAATTCCAACGTCTTTTTTGCGAACATAAAAATATGTGTTGGGCAATGACTTTGCAATGGAATTCGTGTAAAAACTGATTACCTACCTACGTACATCATTTACGGTCGAATATCGTATTCAAAAAAGATAATTATAAAATTTTATTTCTCATTGTATTCAATTTATGGGAACGAATTCCGTCATTTTTTTCGTTCAAAATATAATTTTAATAACGGTAATTAAGAATAAAAATTAGCATTTACTGTGAAAAGTCGTAAGGAGCCGGTCGGTCTGCAAGCGTTCTGCAGTCGACTCCAAGTGTGCGGAGGACATTGCGGAAACGTCCCGTTCCTGCTCAGCACCTGCGTCGCGACGTAACCTTGACCCTCATAATACGCCACCTCGGACACCGGCACTAAGCGCACTTCCGCGGAACGAATCTGGCGCACTGACAATATATTTTCGTAAATAGCTTCGTCCTCTAAATTCTGTCCTTCGGGACATAGTCTGTAGCCGAACTCGCGGCTGATCTCGTCTAGATTAGCGTACTCGGGACGCTTCCGCAACTCTTCCAAGTTTTGATACTGAGGTTCATCCCGGACGCACAGACCCGGCGGGCGCGAAGATGTAGGATCGACACGAACGCCGTACTCGAGAGGCTCGCGAACCATCCGCGCTATCTGACGACCGCCGAAGCAGCCGCGGCACCAGTTGTGTCCGTCGGTCGTGGAGGCACGAGCTCTAAATGTCGATTCCATCTCGGGTTCGGGGGGAGGAGGCTGGGACCACATTGTGAGAGCCCGCCGCAATGGACACATCTTAACCCCCAAAAGGGCGCGCGTCGACTGGCGCGGGCGCGCGGAGCTCGGATGGCGCGCGGTGGAATGCGCCCGCGCCGCCGAAAGAATGCAATCTCGGGCGCATTTCGGAGGTCGAACTCTCCGAAGGGCCGGGGTCCCGCCTCCCGGGCCGCGGCCATCTGTCGTAATAGCTTCGTCGGATCGAAACATGCGGCCCGCCGAAGTGTCGGTGTGCCTATCACTGTAACGGACACTCCGGGAACCCAGCCTTTGGTTTTTGCATGCTAAATTATCCCAAAATTACACCTAAAATTTTATCGATATCAATAATGAACTCGATTCGTAACTCTATTTATGAATCCGGACTTCGAAATAGCGGTAGCAACACGGTTGGATTCTGCAAGCAAAGAAGCCTATAACGTGGACAACCCGTATCAGAATGTAAAAAAACTAAACCATTTCACATACTTCGGTACCTACGTGTTATAGCGCGATTTTCTCAGTTTTTATACATAACTCTCGTACACATTTTTTGGGCTTATGTTCCAAACCGTAAACGTCGAAGAGTACTGAGATACTAGCACATCTGGCGGATGCGCGGCGTTGCAGGTAAACGCACGTATTTTTGATTCGGAATTCCTTTAAATTCATTTGCAATCCCGCTCACCCGAGTCGTGGCTACAGCCCGCATGAGAGATGATCCGATGCAAAAACCCACATTAATCCTCGGGTAACATTAAAAATATCATAACTCATTGCTTATAATTGTCTGAACAGTCTAGTTTAGGTTAGACCAATTACAATTATTATTCTCACGCGAGGTATGAGAAGCAGCATTATGGTTAGCTTCCGACCAGTTTTTTACGAACCGTATAACTTTTATATACGCATTTGAATTTCAATAGACACTATCACGTCAGTTGGAATGTAATCAATTACATAAAAAAAAAAACATTTCGCGAAATAATTAAATTAAACGAACAAAAGCACGGACACAATTATTCCGAAACCAGCTAAGCAAACATTGGTTGTAAAGGAATTCACGTAAATAACTTCGCATTCGACATGCATTTACAATACTTTACGTATTGTATACAAAATTAAGAATAATAATGTTAACGTGTGTGTGTGTGTGTGTGTGTGTAACTAAGAAATTCCGAATAAGTAATTTAATTCATAAAGTTGAGAGTTAACGAGTTGATGGTGTACAGACAGGTAATTTGGCTCGTCGCCCACATTCCATCGTGCCGTATTTACGACTAATAGCACCATGTGTTTTTTGCTAACGAATACCAGTTAAAACTTCAGGTAATTACGAAAATAACGCGGATAATGTATCCGAACGGACNTGTGTAACTAAGAAATTCCGAATAAGTAATTTAATTCATAAAGTTGAGAGTTAACGAGTTGATGGTGTACAGACAGGTAATTTGGCTCGTCGCCCACATTCCATCGTGCCGTATTTACGACTAATAGCACCATGTGTTTTTTGCTAACGAATACCAGTTAAAACTTCAGGTAATTACGAAAATAACGCGGATAATGTATCCGAACGGACGATAAGTAGGTTTTAACAGAAACACAATAGCGAAGGAATTCGAATCTTATTGTTTAAATCTTATGTTGGAAACTTTCGCAACAATTTCAATGTTGCTGACACAGAAAAGAGCTGGTGGTCATCATTATTACGGGCAGGCCAGACAGTTTTGAAGATGTTTAACTAAATAGAACAGACTAACGAACTTGTGATTCTTTAAATAAAATGTTTAGAAATTTAACCTTGGAGTATACCTATAGAGATATATTTGGAACAGAAGCTAAGAAAGTCTATTGAACGTGTAGTATTGAACTAACGCGTGTCTCATTTTACCAAAACATATGTAGTATTCCTCGAATAAGTACATATTGGTTTAATTGTGGTAATTCCTATTTATTTTCTTGTTGTTGGAATCTGAAGGTTGCCGAGGGGTTTTTAGAGAGCATCTGCCTCCCTTGGACCGGTTGTTGCTCTACTCACTCTACGAAATAGCTATCTCTTTCTTACTTCAGCATGAGCGTACAAACAGCCGTCCTACTTACACCCGCTGGTACGGAACTAATTTTACTTCTTTTTCTTTTCGTTGACTATCTGCTGTAAGGCAACCAAAACTAAGCAGCGCATACAAGTTGTACCTAATAAAAAAAAAACTCCACTACTGTTTAAAATTAATTCTAATCAATTGCGTAACACCGATTCAAGTTTTATTGCAGACACAATAAACGTCTGCCGTAGTGAAATTCGTCGTATTTTTTATCTGTACATTCTCTTATGACATTTACGTCTTACAGACTATACAACGTTTTCACATTGTATTTTTTTTTAAGTTTTAATTTTAACATGACAGTGTACAAGTAGGATGTACCGTGAGTTTGGACAAAAGGCCTGAAGGTCGAGGCCGGACAGATAACGTCAGTTCATATCCGAAAAATCGAAGCTGCCCGAGGCTGACCGTTTTGTTTTTATTGCTTTCGGCCGTCGGGCACCGGGCGGGGGCTTGGATGCGATTAAAATTCCTGAGATGCCTTCAGCCTCACGCCTGCCGTCCCTTCGCCGCGATGACCACAGACCGCCCAATCGACTGTCCCGCTATTGTTGCTCAATAATAACGAAATTGATTCTTTTGATTATAATAACAATGAACAGTAATTCGAAACATTCAATTTCTCATTCGCTGCGTACATCAGAGATAACATTGAATATTTTAACGTATTTCACTGTCGTTCACGGATGCTTCTTATTGTACGCGTGGTTTTTTTTTTAAAGATTAAATCTCAACTATTGTGACACTGTCTACATTAAATTGATTACTGTCATTTTTTATCGATATATGGAACTCACTGCGTATTTTCATAAAATATTATTCTTTTGACGTGTCTTTCTGACTATGTAGTCTGTGTTCGTTCCACGGGCCCCTCCGAGAGCAATCTCAAACAAGAAGCGAGGCCCCAGACGCCAACATAACAAAATTACAGTAACTTACCACCACGACGGACAATCCTCAAGCCAAAAATACAATATGTATTTATGTACATATATAATTAGATTATTCTATAATGTCAAAGAAGAGCGGAGAAATTATGGAATATTACAGAACATAGACTTAATAAAAGTAGTAACTTCTTAGAATTTGATTAAACCACATTTACAATCACAACACGTACAATACAATTTCTAAATGAAAAACTTTACACTATTACTTGCTTTGCTTACTTTAAATTTAAATTAAGAAAATACCAATAACATATATTTGATATCAATGTGGATATAATTAATACAAAATTAAACACGTACATTTGTCGTTCAAAATTTTAGTATAGATTTCACGCGGTTTTTAGACGCTTCTTTTATTAACTTAAAAGTTGAATAAGCCGAGACGTTTTCTCAAATATACTGTTTTAGTTTTGATATTAAGTACGAGGAAGCTAGTAAACAGCTAACTTCCATAAAGCCTTTAATAATATTTGGAATTTAATTAATCAACAACGCTATATCAAAAACTTTATGACATAAAATACACGCGTAACATGAAAAAGATTGAAGTATGAAGTGTCAATAGACAGGTCTTAAGCTGATGGGAGAAAACCTCCAAAAATGAATGATAGAAGAAATATTTAAATAAATATATAGAAGAGCGTCT